CAATCAGCCGCAAGTTAACTTTTTTCAGAACACAACATTCTGTTCAGTGTTGAAAAAAGGAATGCTGAACTTGTCTTTGAAAGTAGCCTGAGATTGTGATTGTCAGCATTATTTTTATTTATGTTTCCAGTAGAAACGACAACATTGCATTCACAAATTGATCTTGGGTGGAGGAGGATCTGTATTTGGAGAAATCATGGAAGTGTACACTCACCAACGGCTGGAGGTGTAGAGTCCCTTGAGTGCCAACTGGTGGCTGGTGCTTATTGGGTTTAGTACAGCAGGAAAATTATAGATGGTGGTAAAGCTCCTGGTAGGCAGAGCCAACTAATTCTGGTTTCATCCCCACCCTTCTCCCTGGCAATGATATTAAGTGCTGCAGTACACTTCCTTAAGATCTAAATGATTTTATGAAGAATCTCTTTGTTCAGTAGATTTGTCTTCCATGTCGCTTGCTTTGCTGCTGGGAAAAAGGACCAACCATGCCACACTTTTCAGCCCCTGTCCTCCACTTAGGCTACCATTAATGATGGGAAAGCGAAGACTTAAGGATGAAGTGGCCTAGGGGCATGTGGTCAGGTCTCATCCTTCTAGAGTTATCTTCTTCAATGAGCATGTTGATGGCCTTCTCTTTTCTCAGTCTTCTGAGATGTGGGCAAATTTCTTCCTATGTGTTCAGCAATAAAAAGGAGATAAAATGGGTGGCTGGCACTAGCAGACTGCTGTCCTAATTTTCATTCAAGGTCTACTTGGCAAAGGAGCAAAGCTAAAAGTCAGAGCAGTCTGATGTCGGGGCTTTTGCCAAGAGGGAAGTAGAGGGAAGGAAGAATAAGTACAGGGTTCTCCAGAACTGTAAGGAGGTGAAAACTGAAACTCGGTGTTAGAAGGTTGTGCTTAAGAATATCTATATAAAAGTCTTTCCTTGCTATTGATGGATTGTCCAGATCTTGTTAGATGTCATTGTTTAATGAGCACATTGATCTTGAAGCCTGGTGCAGACTGCCTCCATGAGAGAGATTCAAGACAGGAAGCTGGATTTTGGGCCTGGAAACCTGCTACTATTTTCTAAGAATAACCTCAGATCCCTCTTTAGCTTCCCTCCTAGGCTGTCTACTTACACATTGCCAAAAAAGAAGCTATGCATCACCAAAAAGGAGAACAAATGGGGGTGATGATTTCCATACAATCTGCATGTGCTAACTGATTTGCAATGTGTTAGCAATCTGGTTTTAGGGTGGGAATCTGTCAGAATTTCTCAGCTTGTTTTCCAGGACTCTGGCCTGCTTTCTCTTTGCATAAGCATGACATGCACTAAAATTTCCCATGGGTGCCAGATAGGAAGCCAGTTCAACTGTTACACAGGTAGAACTAACAAACCTGGCTTGCTCACATGCTGGCTGTGTGCTGGCTGCACGAGCAGAGTTCTGATTCTGCACACATGACTTGTGGGTCTTGCGCACTTAGCAGGAGAATAATTTAGTGCAAAGAAGGGGTTATCATTCCCAAATGTCCCCAGACTTGATTACAGCTTGACTAGCTGCCTGGGCCAGGACTAAGTGCGAGAAAGAACTCCGGCAAGTGCAAGACAGCCAAATTCCAGGAGGATATTCACATCACTCTAACTAACTGATATGTATAGATAAACATTTAGAGCTAATGGCTATATAATTTAAATCCAAATGCAGTATCTCACCATGAGGGGAAGATAATAAGCAGTGCACTTGCTCAATTTGCGGAGCAGATGTTAAGGGTTGATGGGCCGCTTCAAGGTCCCTGCTGTTTTCTCTTCTTATGGTTTTTTTAACCTTTAAACCAGGCTTGGGCAGGACAGCCTTTCAAATAGAAAATATCCTCTGAGAGCCCTTCAAATAAAGGGCTGTCCTCTGTAAAGTAGGACACGTCGCCATCCTAGTTTGTTGCTGAGCAAATTCAGTTGTAACCACCCACCTACCTGCTCTGCTTCACACAAATGGACCTGAACAAAAGGCTCACAGAACAGATGATGGAATTTTTCCTCCCCATGCCCCCGCTTTTTCTGCCAACAAGACAGAACACCCCCACCAGTATTCCAAGAGTTTTTCCTCTCCCCTCCCTATGAGAGGCTGCTTCTCCATGTATCTTTCCTTTTCTCTGCAGTGCACACCTGAACTCCACAGTCAAATAAAACAAACAGCACACCTCCTTTCCTCCAGAAGAGACGTTTCCATGCTCCTCTGTGTCTTGGCCACCGGGGACATAGAGCCATATTTCCTTTCTGGCAGGGAGTGGAAAGCTGCAGCTGCTACTTTTGGTCAATGAGTGGGGCCAGGGCTAGGGTGGCCATGTGTCTTCCCAGGTTTTTAGGAGGCCCCATGGACAGAAGAGCCTCAAAGGACCCCTACCTTCTCATCTTCATTGTCAGCAGCTGCTATTGTTTTTCCTCTCTTTTCTCATCACTGCTGCCATTTACTCGTTTGCTAGGCAGCCAGCCGGCCAGCAAGCAATGACACGGTAGCCTTTGCTCTCCTCCTCATCCTCACCAGGATCTGCACCAGAATGAGAAATGGCAGAAGCAGCAAGTTGCAAGGTTCAAGGGAGCAGCAAGTCCAAGGGGCTGTTGTTACCCTGCTGGGCTGTTGGCTCTTGACAGATGCCCAGCCATTCCTCCCCTTGATGCTGGCTCCTGTGTCGGAAGCCTGTTCAAGGACAATCTTCTTTTTGGAGGCATCAAAGCAAACCCAAGAAGACAGAGCAGGAGCCATGAAGTTGCTAGCCACTTATACAGCAGTCTGAGCTGAAACATAGATTGCATTCCCCCCACCCCCCAATGCCGAAAAGAATAGAGGAAGAGGAAGGACATGCAGACAAGGAAAGCTGGGAAGAAAGTGAGATTATCTTTATCATAGGTACATAGGCTTAGTTACAGTAGTGTATTAGGACAATAGGATGCTGTAGGTATTAGAATAATAGGATGCAGCAGCAGTAGCAGTCAGTGACTGCCATATGGGCAGGAATAAGAAAGTGTGAATTCTTAGTGCTAGTTGAACAAAGCATAAGAGTATCAGGACACGGACTCTTTAAATGGATCAAGGTGTCTAGAGTTGGGGCAAAAGCAAGAGGTGGGGCAAAAGTAAAAGATTAAAGCTGGAATGTAAGAGGAATATGAGGTGGAGATGGAGGCAGAAGTAGACTCAAGGAATGGAGTGTAGAAGGTAAAAAGTTGGTTCTCCTGAGAGTCAAATAATTCAAGCAGACACCTGGCTGCTGGGAGGGACCTTCCAGCACAGAGAGCAGTAAAGGGACAAATACAAAAAGGAGTGGGCACAGAAGAACTTAACCACTTTCTAACAACTTCAGTAACTGGTCTTCCTCTTCCTACAACTTCTTATCCTACAACATGAGAAATCATTTTAATCCTGTAGGATTACCCATATCACCCATGAATATTTGCAGAGTCCTGCAGCCACTTACTTTAGTGAAATTTTCAGCCTGCTCCTGCAAGTACTTACTAGGGTCGCCTACATTCCTATAACCACATTGTTCAAAGCCATGCTTCTTTACCTGGTGAATACTTACATAGTAAGCCAGCTAAGTTTCTGCAGGATCAAAAGAGATTATAGTGGCTATTTGTATGTGGTCGAGCTGTTATTCATGGAGGGATGCTGCAGGAGATGGCCTCTTCCCCTGGATGGAAGGGAGGGCAGCGTGACACACCATGTTAGCAGGTTGCCACTGTAAGCCTGACTTCCCTCCCATCCACTCTCTCCATTCCTTACACCCTCTTTGCTGGAGGTATTTTAGCATGACACTGATTGGAAAACAAGGCACAACCCACATGGGTCCTTTTTCTTTTGTAGTTGTGTGGCAAATGCAGTAGCGGTTGCTAAACTGAAGAAAAGCTGGGAGGTCTTCTGCCTCTGTAGCCTACCCTGACGTAGGACCTGCCCCATGGTTGAACAAGAGTTAGCAAAAGGCCTTGCACACAGGGTGCAAAGTGTGGGATGCAGCTACCTGTGGAAATACCTGTGGAGGGGCTTGCAGAAATATGAAATGTAAGGCCAAGTGGGGCCCCTCCTTCATGTTATATGAACGTGTGGAATGCAGGAAGATTAGAATACAGTGTACAAAGCAGAGTCTGCAACCCACAACAGATTATGACAGAATATTTGTATTTGGAGCCCCCTGGTAGCATCTGTTGGACTATGTCTTTCATCATCTGAAGCCAACTTACTGGCTGAACATGCTGGCTGGGGATGATGGGAGTGGTAGTACAACACGAGGTTTCGGCAAGGGGCGGCATAGAAGTGCTATAATAATAATAATAACAATAATAATAATACATCTGAAGGTCACTAGTATGCAAAATGAACTTCTGCCTTTGCTGGTCCTTTCCTCTTGCTTTATGAGCCTAGATGAGCATCATCACTGAGGCCTTAAAATTGCAAAGGAAGAGCTGAGTTAATTTGTCAGTGCAAACAAACGAAAAAAGACGGTCTGTGGCACCTTCCCTTCAAGACAGGTTTTTCCACACAGTGTCACTTTCCATGGGCCAGACCGTGCTTTTGCAGTTCCGTGGAGTGTTATTGTGATTCTCAGCCAGCAAATACTTGGTAACAACCTTTCCCGCACCTTCATGAAAGCATCTGCCATGGGCGCTCGCTCCATGATGAATCGGAACATCTCTTAAGGTTTCACAACGCTCTGGCGTGTTGCTGTTGGTTTTGATGCCCACTTGCTTTAGGCCCAGGACCAAGGCGGTCCTGAGCCGGGCTGCCTTACTTAGGCGCTGACTCGCCCCAAGGGGAGGGAAGCAAAGTGGAGGGAAGAGAAGTCAGTGTCAGGGCCGAGGTGGGAGGGGAGCGGCGGGGAGGAGCCAGGCCAGCGTGAGGCAGCACATTTCTCGCGGCGGCGGCGGCACCATCGCCGGCTCACGCCGCAGCAAGACGCGGGGCGCCAGAACCGGCAGCAAAGCATCACCCCCCGAGCCCCGGGAGCCGCCAGGGGTCCGGCATCGCGCCCAGCGCGTCGTGCCCGCATCTGGCGGAGGCTGTGCGGAGCAGAGAGAGAGGAGGAGGAGGAGGGAGCGCGAGGCTAGGGCTCCTCGACCAAGGTAATAATGCCAGCTGCTGGCTGTGCATATGGATCCCTGGGGGTAATGCCAGCCTGCCCGTTTCTCTGTCCCCCATCCCCCTTTCCCTGCCCTCCGAGCCATGGGGAGAGATGCTGCAACAAACCCATTTCCCCCCAGGGCTGAGCTGCCTGGATACAGGTTTGCAGAGCCGGGGGGGGGGGCGGGGGGAGCACCAGCCGCAGCTTCCTGGATGCAAACGAAGACTTCCCTTTCTGTGATTCAGTCTTGTCACAGGAGCATCAGCTGGGAAGGACGTGGTTCATGCAAAGCTCCTGAATAGTTCTTACTGAGGAGGAGGGTGTAGCAGGCAGACGCACAATACTGGGAATGTTATTTCCAAGGCAGCATCCGCTGCCTTCTCAGATGCTCTCCCACCCCAAAATCTCTGGGGCATTTGGGATCCAGCCTGTACTGGCCCAAGTACTCAGGAAGACAAGATGGCTAGGCTAGTTGCGGGGATCACATCGGGGGATTTCAGCAGTTTAGATGCTGCTTTTAAACAAGCCGTGTCTCCGCTTCGGGCAAATGCTCATCTGTCTTGGTTGTGCATTGCCAAAACAAGGACCTGCTGTGCCACTGGGGAGAAAAAGAATTGCTGCTATTTTTGGAATGACTTAGTTTGCTTTGGTGCTTACGGGGTTAAGCCACACCAGGAAATTGTTAGATGACAAACAACAACAAGCCTGAAACAAACCAGGTGGCTGATACATTGAGTAAGCCAGGCATGACAGCAATATCCTCCAATATTTCCGACTTAGAATAAATTCAAGTAAAGACAAATTAAGGAGTCGGGTGGCGCATGTGTGTGTTTTAATACTACTGCCAAATGTAACTGTGCAATCCTATACTTTTCTTGGGTAGAACAAGTAAGATTTAATTCAAAGTACTTATCTCAGATAACTAAACGTACTTGCATGGGACTAAGCACCATTGAATGTAATGTATCTTTCTTTGGATTAGACCTGAATAGGATTGCACTGTTAATGTATGTCTCAGTATTGTCTTTAACTTCCTAGAAAGGATTAATAGTCTAATCCTATACATACTTAAAGAAGAAAAAATTCCTACAACCCCCATCATTCCCTAGCCAGCCATGTTTCTAGATATGTATGTCTAAACATAGGATTGGGTGCAGAATAAAATATAATAATTTGGATTCTCCAAAAATGTTTAAATCTCATCATGAATCATAACATTTTATTTTATTTAAGTTTGTAAATCACTCCAGAATAAATTTTAAAGGCAACTGTGGTGCTTTTATTCAAAAGATATGGTAGATGATTATCCTTTAGGGGTTTGAAATCTTGAAGATGGATGCTGTTCGGCAAGGAAACCGATTTTGGCTAAATGTTCAGAGAAACGTCCTAATTTGAAGCACTGTTTGGCAGTCAAATAGATGGTTACTGGCGATGGAATCACCATTGGCATAAAAGCATGTGGTCATAAGTAAAGCTTGCTACATCGGATCAGATTCTCACCTAGTCCAGTCCTTCTGTTCATACCATGGCTGATCAGCTCCCTGTGGGAAGCCCACATGTACAACATGCATGAAGTACTATTCTGCCCATGTTCCACAGCAACTGGTAAAGAGAGACATCTGCCTCTGATACTGGAAGCTACGCACAGCAATTAAGAGTTGTATCCTAGATAGATTTCTCTTTCAGAGCAATCCACATTGGTGGCCCATCACTCTCTCCTGAGGCAGTTTGACTCCACGCTCGGGTAAGAAGTATTCTTTATAGCTGTAATGCCCTCACTTGAATCCTCCTCTGAGGAGGAAAAGTTCAAGTCCCCAAGGAGGCTAATGCCCCATTCCTCTCAGGACTTGCCCCACCACAGGGCCTGAGGCCATGAGGGACGCAGCCACGCAGGAAGAGGAGGGGGCTAAGCACCTTCCATGTTCCACAGAGTGTTGGCACCAAGAGAGGCAGGCCCAACTCAGGGACCCTCGTGAAAGTGCCAGGCTGCAGCAGGAGCCCCTTGAGGGGAAGGGTCTTCTTGTGGAAAGAGCTCTGACAGGGGAACTTCAGTATACCACAACTGAGGCCTGGGTAGGGCTCAGCAGGCACTGATGTCAGAAGCCTTCAGGGACTGCCTAGCCACTGCTGGAAGTGATGCCCCTCCTGCTTTGGTGTCTTCTACTTTGCCTTGTGATTGAATCTCCACACTGAAATTCCTTGGATTCCTTGATTCTGCTCCTGTGCTGCATAACGTATCTGGCTGGCTGTGTTCGGCTCTGTCTGCTATCGCAGCTGCCCCTGCTTTAGCCTGATCTCATGTACCTTACTGCCTGCCTGTGCTTCTCCCTTTTCTTCTTGTAGCCTTGACCCATTGTAGTGTAAGCTCAGACATTGGCCTCTTTCACTACCTTGCTTCTTAGCTAACCTTTCACTCAGTGTCTGCTGCAGGGCTCTACAGCCATTCAGCTATCCGGGAAAATTCCAGGCTGTAGCATAAGGCAAGTGGGGGAACAGTCTCCCCTTACCCTCTTGCTCAACACCACACAACTCTTTCATTAGAGGTTTTTTAGGTAGAGCCTGGTCAGCCATTTGTCATGGTGTCTGTCGTTAAAATATTTCTGAATTCAGTAGTGGGTGGACTGGATGATCTCCAGATTCTTTCCCACCTTAAGCTTCTGTGATGCTATTCTTCTGGGAGAATTTACATATTGTCTGGTCTCTGCAGCGTTGTGATGGAAGGATCTCTCTATTTTTCCTTCTGTGCAACTGTTAGGGATGTGAAAATCTCATCTCTAGAATTGTGTCTCAGTAGAGCACTCAGCTGCGCAATCATCCCTTTTACTATCCTTTTGGTACTGCTTGCCTGGATCTATAACCTGGTATATTATGAGGTATGAGGGCCTTCTTTTAACCTAAGGACTGAACTGGTTCTGCACAAGCATATAGGGGGTTGCATGCCATCAGTGTGTGGGGCCTCCAAAATAGGAGGATCCAACTGATTGCTTGTCTGTGGCTCCAGTGAAATTGTCTGGCCACATTCATTACATACACATTTACACATCACCAATTCCGTACTGCTTCTTAAAGAGCCTCAGCTAGTAGGAAAGGAGGCACTCAATGCAGTGGAGAGGAACAATTTTGTTATCTTTCTGTTAACTTTCAGGATGGGTAGCCATGGTTGACAGATTGTAAGTAGTTTTAGCTATAGAGGTAAATACAGAATGATCATTTTCTTCAGAGAGGTGTTTCTGATTCATTTGAACCCTTTATCCACTACACTTAACTTCATTTGGCCTCCATTGACAGGTGTTGTGTTTCCTGCACAGAAAGTTATGTTTGGAATAGCTAATTACAAGGTGATTACATGAATTAGCCCTATGAATTGCTTAATTTAGTTGAGGTTCACTTTCTTCGCATTTACAATACAGCATAACTAGACAGTTCTAAGTGGCTTACATTATATAGAAATGCAAAATGTCCCTGAATATTGGATTAAAATAACTAGTTGAGTTAGAATGGTGGTGCTCTGGAGGTAAACAGTATGTCCATTTCACCAGAATCATTAAATTGTGAACAAAACAGTTGGCTTTCATGGAAGCAAGCAAATGGGTAATGAATTTGTCTAATGAAAAGAAAATTGGGGCTTATGGAGACAGAAATCAAATAAGCATATTATAAAACAATATCAAGCATATACCTGATCAAGAGTGATTTCATCTGAAATATGTTGGATTTTGGTACATTCCTCTGATACTTAAAATTTTCTTCCTGTTGTACTTTGTTCTTTAATTGCCTTTCCTAAAATAAGCAACCTATAATATGACCTGTGCTTTTTATTTTTGTGACCCAAATGATTGATACAGTACAATTGTCCATTTTAAGTAAAAGATGCTTTCCTGGGCCATGTTTACCAAATGGCCACTGGACAGATTCATTTGCTTTTGCCACATTGTTATGTCCTCAGTACACTTGGTAAGCCAAGATTTGTTTTTCCATGTTAGTGACTTATTTTCCCCTTCAGGAAATTCTTTCCACACTGTTGACCTGTACGCTTAGAATCTCAGCACATCTGCCATGGAGACTTGCTTATTGCAGAACATGTCCTGTAACCATTACACCACAAGATTTCAGAGATAGTATCAAGCAAGGAACAAGTGTTTCAGGGCCACTTCTGTGCATATAAGTAGATCTGTGGAATAGACGACTTCATTTCCTGGCATTGGCTGGGCCTACCATGCTGGTTCCCCACTGTTCTTGTTCCTCAGATGAATACTACTTCTAGTAGGGCATGACAACCTATGACTCAGTAGCCTGTTTGTGCATGCATTGTATAAAGCAGAATTACATTGAGAACAAGCCCTGGGACCATGCCTCTGCCCCACCCCAAGGTTGTGTGATCTGATTGGTTGGGTAGTGTTGTGATATGAGAAGGGAAGCATTTACAGGGTGGAGCTATTATGCCCAATATGGAAAATGTATATTAAAATACTGTAAAATACTACAGCTATCACAAGAATATTAGGAAAAGATAGCTATGGCATATAAACACAGACACTGCTTGATAGGCTTGCCAGTTGCCTGCTGCACTTTCTTAAGTGCTTGGAGGCAATTCATTCAAACTGCCCCATTAGCCATGAGGCACCCTTAGAATTTATTGGATTTTTTTAGTCTGAATTTGATAAAAGTGTTTAGTATTTCGTAAAGATGTTTGCAAAATACAGTTTTAGAAAGACCTGAAAGAAAAGAAGGAGCCTTCCTAATTTTAACCTTTCTGTGTCCTTCCTCTCTGATAGAAAGTGCATTCAATTCTCCCATACTGGGCAAGTAAGAAATTCCCTCATAATTGTACATTTAGGCCACCACTAAAAGGATCAATGAGGTTACTGGCTCAATTGTTAACTAGGGCAAATATGAAACTCTTATTGATTTATTAAACTGAAACATCTGCAATTTTTACACGGTCTGATTTTTGTAAAAAACGTTGTACATTATGTTTTCTGAATTGCATATATTCTAGAA